CCAACGGTCTCTTCAATGATGATTCGCGCGTCCCGAAGCTTCCGCCCTAGCGATTACCCATCCGGCGTGGCTGTCCCACAGACGTCGTTTCGCGGGGTCCATAGGTGCTTCCCCCTTCCCGCACGACCCATCCATCGGTATACTGTAAGATTCGCTCAGGCGCTTGATGAGCACGCACCTTCTACGGTCCTCATCCCTATCACCACTATACGTGTCACATCAGACTTGATTAGATCGATGTCCGATCCGATTCCATCCACATCACTTACAAAGCATAAAAGATGGAAATTACAAAGCAATCCTAATAAATGAGTTAAGCATGTTTATTGGATGATTCTCCGAGAAAATATTATTTTTGTAGATTTTTCTCAGTTGATACCTATTTTAAAAATGTTCATATCATCATTTTTATTTCTAATATTTCAAAAAAAATCTCTTAAAAAAGTTATCATTTTTTCCCACCCAAAACACTATATAGTATTTTTAAAAATATTATATAATATATATTTTTATTTTAAATATAATATATTGTGTTCTTTTAATACTATATTTTTAAAAAAATACTATATAATATTTATGGATAAAAATAAATCATAAAATACAGTAAATAAGTGGTATGAAACTTTGGAGAAAAAACACTGTGAATAACTTTTGGAAAGTAATTTTAGGATTTTTGAAATAAGATGTGACGATTTTAGAATTTTAAAAATAAGATATCATCCGGAAAAAAAGTCAAAAAGATTTTTTTTTTTAATAATCACACGAGTTTATTTGCTTGCATCTATCTTACAAATTTTTACATAATTATGTCGATCATTTCATCTTAAGAGAATTATGACATAATATAATAAGCTTTTTTTTTTTTTTTTTTACTCTCATGTGGCCAAATCTTCGATATAAGAAAACAAAAAGGTAAGAAAGAATCCTTTTGTGGTTATGCTTAAAACAGAGGTTCTGATCCATTGTGAAGCCACTGACCTAAGATAGAGTACATATTTATAGCAAAATGATTTCTCTCTTCTAACCTCGATATGGAGTTCCATTATTTTGACAATTATTTTAATGGGGAATATGTTTTAATAGTTATAGCTCAATGACTTCCATTTCATTGAGCTTCATATATTATTTATTTATTTAAATATACAATCGGATCACACTACTCATTCATTTACCACGACTCAATAGCTTCGTATTTGTTGAGGTATTGTTATTTTTTTTTAGTTTGCTATGTTAAACCATCCATTTATGAAAGTATTAAGTTAATTGTTGATTGTCCGAGTTGTCTTAGGGTGATTTTTTTCGACACCAATCACCTCTAGCACTAATGATGTTGAACTATTATGTCGGAGATGTTTTTAATAATATCCCTCTAATACCTAAGTCAATACAAGTTCAGATGATTCAACTTATATTTTTATATTATATTGAGCCAAAAATATAATTTTGAGCATATCGAGAGAGTTCTTTTATAATAAGCTCTTAGTATCATTACTCCCGCAAATTACAAGGCAACATGTCTCTATAGACCTTAATGCATCAAATTCGAAATAAAATAACTTTGTGCTAAAGTGTCTCGGTATCGATTTTATAGTATTATGGTATTAATCACAACAACATTAATTGTCGACTACATGATAGTGCGATATCAATCATCGACACTAAGTGTTGATCTATGTTGTTAGAGATAGAAAAGAAAGTATCTTAAAGTGATACTACATATATCCATCTCAATATTTATGAGCTAGCTCAAATCCTATGCTTTTGAACGAAAGATTTGTCAGCACTCACTAAAACATAGAGCACAAATCCTTCGTAGCTTATCCTTAGAAGTTATTGTCCTAAGAAGGAAGAAATCTGAGTTGAAATGTAACTACCATTATCATTTTCTCTCTTTTTTTTTATTTTTTTCTTATACATAGTATCGTATTTCAAGATTTGACTGAGAGTTCAAAATCTAATCTTATGCTTTCTATATAAATATTTAAAACATAAATATTTTTTATACATAGAATATTAATTTTATCAAATATATAATTTTTTTTACATTCAAATAAATTAATCTGATGATAACGAATCTAACACAACTATAGAGCTCGAAACTCACTTGCTAAAGTCTTGACGGTCGAATGCCGAAAGATGCTACTAATATATTATGACAACATATACAAAACCGATTAGAGGCCGAGCGGGCTGTGTTGACAATGGCGAGCGATAAAGACAACAATGCGAGTTTGTGCATGTGAGAGAGACGACGAAATGGTGGAGGGATGCATGCATGGATGCATGTGCACCGGCCGATCCCGACTCAATGGAACGTAGAATATAGAGAGAGAGAGGGTACCGACTGCCACATGCACCGGCAATCCGTCCCTCGTTAATTACATCCTTCTTCTATCTTAAATAAGAACGCGGTCGGTCCTAAAAACGACGATGGATTGATCATTTTTCTTATTGAAGTTATTCATGTTCATTTAGGACATTTTAATTGGTTTAAATTCCGATCCTTTGATAGATTCAGACCATCTTTTCTTTTCGATGTATACGGATAATTGTCGGAAAAGAAATCACCAATCTGTTAATTAATTCCCTCCCAACTCTTCAATGTAATGGCTTTTGATGAAAAAGAATATCCGTACAGTCAAATAATATAATATTTTTATGAAAAAAATTGACCAAATAGAGTAGTCTTAATTAAGTATAATTTAGTTAATATTTTCGAAGACTAACTAATTTATAAGAACGTAAAGCTTTGGATGTATTAGGGAGTCGCTTACGATAGTCATCGATGTTTTAAATGTATTTGTCTTACGAATTATTTTATTTAAGAAATAGATGAAAAATAAATTTTCTTGTAGCTTCTTATGTCCAAGTATTAGTAATTGTTTCTCTTGTTGTTAGTCAAAGATTATCATTCTTTTTTTTAGCTTATAGTAACTTCTTTGATTAGATATAGTTATGGACAAACAAAAATAAAATAATATATTATAATCCATAAGAGAAATCTTTCACACTAATAGTTGCTTGACGCATAGTTGCATATGTGACAATGAGGAGATAAGATCTATTTATAATCGGCCCACATGTTTGTTAATCCAAAAAAAAGTTAGAAAATATTTATTATTTTTATTCTATTATAAAAACTATTTTGACATGATAATTAAGATCATATATTCTTTGCTAATACTTTATTCTCATCGAAACTAACTTAGAGTGCGAAAAATATCAAACCAAAAAATTATTTCAATCTAAATTTCTTCGTAAGTTAATCTCATAATGTAAGTTCAAATCCAATTCAATCTTATAGCACAATCTCAAATCTAATTCAGCCCTCGAAAGAATTATCATATCCTCTCGATAGTCATCTCATCTCTCTTGTGCATATATATATTCGAATCACATTGGATTGACTAATATTTTTTATTAACATATATATATATATATATATATATAGCTTAAGCCTGAAAAGAGATATCATTGTCACAGTACCATAATTTTGTACAGTGCGTCCATATTCCAAATTCATTGCGATTGATTATGGTGTTATAGAGAGTTCATAATGTCAAACATAGGATGATCAAAGAAAGTGTTATATCTACATAATTAATAATTCGTCAACTTTGACAACTGACCTACCAATTCCTTGATTTGTGCAACCGTGTTGAAGAGGAATCACTCCCACCTCAGAACTTTCATTTCACTTCACTTTCCTCCAACCTGATACAATCTACTACTCACCATCCAATGAATGAATGAATGTTTGGTTGATCACTACTGCTGGTCTTCTTCTTATTTTATTCTTTCACTTGCTAATTGTTGGTGCCGTTGGGAGTATTTGTGACGATAATAGAATATTAATCTTCATATATTGACAATGGGTCCCAAAGTATTTATTTTGAGCATAAAAAATACCTAACTAGCTTAGTTACCTTTTAAAAATACATGTATAAAGATGTAGTCTCTTATATCATTCTTTTGTTGAGTTATATCGATTTTAAGATCATATCCAAGATAGTAAAACTTCAACTTTAGTTAATTAATTTATTATCCATTAAAAATAAGGATTTTTTTTTTTGCATATATGTTCATTTAAGGTCCCATAAAATGGTATATTTGTCACATAATTAGTATTAAAGTGTATTAATACCAAGTATAATTTTAACTATATATATAAGGTGAATTTTTGAAAAAAAAATTAACTTTAAAAATTGTTTACAATATCCTAACTTTAAAAAATTCTCACGTAACATTCGTTTTTTCATAAATGATCGTTTTGACCTGGCTTCCATCAGACCCGTCATTCCCTTCGTCCTATATTGCTCTCGTTATGCTCATTTGTGACCCTCGTATATCTTCTTCCTTGCATAAGGATTAGGGATAATCATAATAAACAAAATGGAGGGACGACAAGACTCAAATTTACGATTGTAAACGATAATGATAAGTCTTTGTGTGAGGGCTATGGAAGGCGATGTAGGGCTGAGGTCGCGATAGGTTCGAAGGCGATGATATAAGTAAAAT